TTTAAGGGACAAGGAAGGAGGAAAATTATACATAATAGAGAGAACCACTAATGGGATTCTAATTCTTATTTAGGTGTGACTCTTTGGGTTAGGACATTTGATCCCAATATCAATAGTTTCGCTGTCTCCAGGGCAAAAATTTAACACTTTTGCTTTCTGAGCTAGTCACTGTTTATAATAATATGCATAGTCTTTATTACAATAATTTTTTCAACATTTTATGAAGTGTGCTTATTAAATGAAATGGTAAGTCTGTCACTGGCAAGTCTCTTGTGCACATTTTTTTTCATATTTCCTTTCTTTTGGCAGGTCCATGAAAAGGGAGTAAGTTTCTGTGGGCTGTGCATGCTTTTCCACCCTTTTTCAGGATTTGTCACATCTCCTGGAAGGCCTTATAACTCACAAAACATGATTTTATATCCCAGCAATTTGCCAAGTCTTGTCAAATCCTAACATTTTTGTTGGCAACAATTTCCATCTCTCGGCTGAAAGGGAGTAACTTAGATCATCCAGTCACAACACTGTTCTTTGGATACCTTTTTATGGTCAGTGTTAATTTTGATACATGGTTTAATCTCTGCCTGTGAGGGGCTGCCCACTATATTTCATGTTGTCACTCAGTGAATCTTTTGCAAAGTGGACATGCTGTTTCATCAGCTGATTTTCCATTTTTATATGTCTGCACTTGCAGTCCCACTTCTCTCTAAAAAAAAAAATATCTGAGAAAAAATAATTTAAATAGAGGCCGTTCTTACTTCCTTCAGGAATGCTTCCTTTGTTAGGTACAGCTGCTGTTACCATACTGTAAGGGAGACTGTACCATGAGCTGGTGGATGCTCTGTTTACTTTTTCATCCTGTTTGTTTTTAACTCATCCCCTTCACCTCAGTGCAACAACAACAAAACTTCAGCTCTTGGGATGTGGAATAGGAGCCATTTAAATCTTTAGGATATGAATAAACTAAAAGAGAAGTTATTATTCGCTGTAGCTTGTTCAAACAGCTCCGAATGAGAGAATTTTGGATTGTTTAAAATGCCTAAAGAATAAAATAATTCTCATCTTTTGCACCAAACACAATTAGTGGTGAAAAATCCAAGAGGATATGGGATTTCCTCAGGTAGGATTTGAGAAGACAGTATTTATTGGTTTTGGTTACTAGCTCCAAGAGAAGTGAGAAATGTTAATAATAAGCAGTGCAACAGATGTTAGATTGCTACATCTCGTCCTGCCATATGCTCTTTGTTATGAGTCATTCTGGATGCCATCCATCCCTGTACCAGTGCTTGCTGCAAGCATCAATCTGCAGCAGGAAGGGTGAAGGGAGGCATATGCACAGCACAGCTGGAGGGGTCTGCCCATCTCCTCAGCCTCCTCAGGAGGGGGGATGCAAGAGCCTGCCTGCGTTTACATTTACCACCATCTATACATGACCTAAGCCATGCTGAGTCCCGCTTAATTGGTACACAGCAAATGAGGAATCCACTCCTGGCAGTTATTTTTAGTCATTCCTTATGACATCTTGGGATAGCAGGAGAGTCTGACCTCTCTCTGAAATGAAGCACTCCTTGCCCTTTAGCACAGCGTTGCTTAAATTCACTTCAAGCATGAATGTATTCAACAGCCTCCATCCGTGTCAGATTTTCAAGGGGAAATTAGGATGGTACATAGTCACACTTAGTCATACAAGGAACCCATGGTTAAATTCGTACCCCAGATGGACTCTGTCCTTTTTTCTTCCTGTTTGAAAGCAAACACCCTGCCTTCTCATGCACTAGTTCAGTCTTGTATATCAGCAGTGGGGGAGAGGAACAGATGCCAGAGGAGCTGGAAGAATAAAAAGGGCAGGCTCCTGCTACCTCTGATGAGAATCAGCTCAGGAGATCATGGAAAAGGGACAGAAAAAATAAATTTTCTGGAAGATACCCAGGAGCTTTTCTTTCAGTTTGAGGAAAACCTCACTAGCTGTTAAAATACAAGGTCTGCACTTTAAAAGTGGGACTTATTTAAGCAACAAAGCCCTGCCTGATAACTGCAAGCATTGGTCTGCCTTCACCTCTCTCTCTTTCTCTCTTTTTTCCATAAAATTCCTTCAGCACACCCCAAGAAACAAAAAAACAAAGGTTTCTAGCTGCTTGGTGAGAATTTGTAATTGAGATATTCATCTTGTCAGAGCGAGCAAATTGGCAAATCCCCATGGACTTTTGCCACGCAGGGGCAGAGCTGGACAGGCACGCAGTGGGAGGCAGGCAGCCCCAGTTGTCCCTGGGTCCCCAGGACTCCAGCACAAGAAGAAGGAAGCTGTTGTGAATCAGAAGGAAATGGGAAGCTATTTGCTTTAACTGATTTCATGCTTTGCTCCAGAAACCTGGCTAAATTCTGATCTGCTTTTTAGGGAAAATTTCAAGATATTGCCATGGTAGCTTAGTGAGGACCCAAATGGCTTTGGTTCCTTGACATGTGTCTAAACTTCAATGAAAGTGAGTCAATTCTTTTTCTTTTTTTTTTTTTTTTAAATTTTCTTTCTGTGGAAAATCTAATTTTTGCTGTGTTGCACCCTACTGTGCTGCTTGCAGGGCACTGCAAGCTGACCTCTTGAGGTGCTGAGTGGTTCTCTCAGCACCTACACTTCATCACGGCCTCTGCTCTCAACCCTGTGCCGTGCTTGACTGGAAAAGGCCTCTGGTCTTCAAGCATAAGAGTCAGACCGTCATGTCACATTGACCTACAGACCTGGTTCTGGGCATGGTTCAGAATCATACAGATTACCTGTGCACCTTCAGAAGCCAGAAATTGCTCCATCCAGAGAAATATTTCTGATCAATTTAAAAGATTACATATTATAAGCTCGTTGATTATTTTTTTCTTTCTAACAGATTAAGTTGTAACAAAATTTATATTAGGTTATGGAATGTTACACTTTAACAATTCTCTGTGTGTGTATATTAGATTTGAAATGTTTATTTTGGTATATGATCCAGATATTTCACCCTCTGCATCCCTCTCGCACTGTACTAAAGCCAAACAATGAAACTCGTTCTTTTAAAGTCACAATCTCCTCAGTGTTTTTTGCAGTACTGATTTGTAATAGAGGGACATCAGTCTCCTAAACAGTCCGCCTTGGTTTTTTCACAGGCACCAAATAGGGTATTTCTCAATGAGAGGTACATCTGCAAAAAGACCCTTTCATCAGAAAATGCCTGTCTGTTAAAACAAGAGGGTCTTTTCCTATGAATAAGCACCATTTGGAGGTAATGTTGTAATGTTTACCATTGTCATGTGTCCAAGATGCCTTTTTTTATTTTTTGAAAAACTATATAATAGCAAATGCACATGGCTTTATTACTGTGAATTATACTGACATTTGGGCAAGTTATTACAAATATGAAACCCAAAGGTAAAAGCTCATCTGGATGATTATGTATGGATGTACTCACACACTGCACTTTTGGTTCTCATTTTGGCAACCATAGGCTGGATAGTTAATCCGGATATTTCCCACTCCAGCACTGGGACATGTTCCCCCTTTGTGGCAATAGCAGATATGGAATTTTACAAGTCTGCTCTGTCTATTCACTAATGGGCTTCACCTTTTACCTCCAAGAGCCTTTTTTTGAGTCCAGGGTTTACAGGTTTAGACACTGCAGGCAACCTAGCCAGAGGTGTTCTCATATGGGCCCAAAACCCATAACAGAAAAGCCAAGTAAAGGATCATGATTTTATCCTTCCACACCATAATACTTCTTCCATCTTTACTGGATATCAATACGTCTTTCCATTTTTTGTGATAATTGGGGAATCAAAATAATTCCCAGAGAGAAATGTGCTATTTCCCAGACACAGTGGTGCATTTAAGTGTATTTTTATGGTGGATGAGGTTTTGGTGTGTCATCTTTGAAAATATGGGCAAATGGATTATTTTTTTGGTCCAACAAAAACAGCCACAGGAAAAAAAAGGATGCAAAATTCAGGGTGTTGCAAGTTCACTCTCAGAGCTAAGCTGTGGTCTCTCTATTTAGCTATTGCCAAGAACACATGCCAAGTCATTGAGGTTGACCACGTTTTATTACCTCTGTTTTTGCTATTCTACCTTATTCCTGAGACAAGTGGGAAAATTGTGTCTGAAAACTGTCTTTAAACCCTGGACTTCTAGATTGGACATCTTTAATGAATACTGGACGTGTTCCACTGCTGTGCACTGCTGTCTGGGTCTCGGCTTATTAGATACTGTTCTGAAATCCATAATTATAACCAGGTTTGCGATGGGTCACATGCCTTTGTATACAAAAATTTCTGTCATCCTGGTAGAGCCGCTATTTCAGAGGAAATCAACTGATTCAAAACTGGCATTTGAATACTTTTAGCTTTACTTGTTTTGGCCTTCCTTACCTAAGGTGTGAAAAATGGCAATTTCTGTATTTCTGGGAAATTAATTTTCAATGTTGACTTTGGGCCAGTAACCCGAAGTGCTAACATAGTCCATATGTCTGACTAGTGAAGGTTGAGTAAAAAGTATGAAAGTTCTAGTGAAAGTCCATTTTTCCTGCTCCTTTTGGTAAATTGCAGGATTCCAATATAGTGACGATAATTCACAGTTATTCCAGTCGGAGCACTGATCCCTAGTGAAGCTGGGATGAAGGTAAAACGCATGGAATTTGTTCTCTATAGGTGCTGCTTTTCATGCTGAGCAAAAGCTCAGTATTTATAATTTGCTCTCCTGTAGTATTTGCCATCTTTCCGCCCCTCTCTTAAGACTGCAATTCCCGCCTCATATTTTCTTTTTAAACTCTCTCTCGTTTTAATACACATTTTGTATTTTCTTTCAATAAATGCTGTCACGCAGCTCTTCCACTTCCTTTATTGAGAAAACACTCATACGATGGTGGAAAAAAATTGAGAGGGAGGGAGAAACAGAGAAAGGAAACAGAAATCATAAGCAAAGAGTTCGCACCGATTATTGAAATAGTCAGTGTTCCCTCGGGCTGAGAAAAAGGGAAAGGCACTTTTACAGTGTCTTGGAATATTTTTCTTCTGCACAATTCTGACTTTTCAGCACATATGCATTCTACAGCAACAGAAGGAAAGAAAACAAAAAGGACTCAGAGGTTTTACAGTAAGTTTTTTCATTATCTTTCATAGTGACACTTGCTAGTAAAAAGTCCCAGGGAATATTAATGTTGAGTTTTTAAAGCTATAATTTTAAATGCTCTCTGTGTAAAATTATTTAGCAAGCACATTATTTAGTACTAATATTTTCTCCTTCTCTGCAAAAATTTTGTAACTTAAGTCACAGTGACACTTTAAATGTAAAGTCATTTCAATATTTAGTACCATGTTATTACTACTGGAAAATATTTATGTATTTTTAGAAGACTTCAGTGAGCCTCAGGTCTGCTCTTCAGTGAGGTATTTAAAGACAGAAAAGAAAGAAATAAAGACAGTGAAAGATTCCAGTCAAGAGCTTCTGTACAGTCAGGAGGGACTCCATGCTAATTTGGAGCGCTTCGCTGTCCTGAAACACCAATTATAATCAGAGAACTGCAATATTTTAAGAAATTCTGCCTATCAGAGACTGCTTTTTATTTATTTTAATTACTCAAATTCAGATTAAATTGAAATCAGTCTTAGGACTCATATTTGTTTCACTAGCCTTTGAATCATGTCAAAACAAGTCACTAGCCAAAGCTCTTTCAGATTTCAGAGAACACAAAGGGCTGGTGCCATTGCAGTGGGGGCTGCAGAGGTCTGTGGGCAATTGGCAGGGCAGAATCAGGTCCAAAGATGCAGAGGGGAAGGATGCAGCATTTTTCTCCTCCACAGCAAAGTATTGGGTACTGTTTGAAAAATTGATTGTATTTCTCTAACAGACTAAAATGATGCCATTTCAAATGTTGTTCAATATTAAGGTATATGTAGCATTAAATTTCTGGGTTCCCTTTACCAAAACAAACTGCAAAGGCTTCACCATACGACTGCCAAATGACTACTTGAATTTGCAGTTGTAGCATATTTCTCCTCTAAAACTACTACCAATCTTCCCAATACAAGCAATAACTACATATGGACATGTTTAGCAAATCAGAAAGAGTAGACTGATTGCTGGGAAATGTTTTGTTTCCAATTATTTGCTCCGTAAAATCTAGAATCCCAGATAAACAGAGTAGCAAAATCCCAGTGGTTTATCTGTAAGTATACAGTGACTTAGAAATGCTATTAAAATTGCTTGTTTTGAAAACCCCTAGCAGAGAAAGCTGAAAGCAAAAATCTCTTCATATTGATCTACTTCAGGGATGCATTTAAGCATTTCAGGGTGGACTGCCATGGTCAGTAAAGTATTTAGGGCTGCTTCCTTCATTACCCTTCATTTTGCCTTGGTTTCTTTTATCCTCTTTCCTACTAAATGAAACTGATTTTTTGTCCTGCCTATATACCTTTCTCATGTCCAATACATATGGAACTTGCTAAATCAGCTCCTGACATGCCAGGCAATTCTAACGGGGGAGGCTGAGAGATACACCATTACTTCTTATTTCTAATGTGTTTCTTAATTTGAAACTTGTCATTTTCTGTTGTGATGCTGACTCAGCAGTAAGTTTATTTCCAGAATTACTAAAACAACTTTCCCCTCGGAGCAGCAAGGGACCCATGACTCACTGGTAGAGAACAGCGAAACAGAAAGAGGCCTTTTTCCATCTTTTAATATTAAAAAATGAACTAGAAGGAGTTCATAAAACAGTCCTAGGGAATTTCTGTGACATAAAAAAGTAGCAGTAGATCTCATTTCACAGACAGATTGAACACAACCATATTTAATTTGAGTTGCATCTTAAATATATAGCTTGCATTATTTTACACATTGCAAAACAATATTTAGAGAGATCACTTTTGATTCGCTTATACCTACTTCACCTATGTCAGAATCAATCACTTTTTCAGATAGATGGTTTTTTACTCATATGCTGCAGTAAAGTGGCATTTTGTAAACTTTCTTTTGGTTTCCAGCATTTAACAACTGCGCTTTCCCATCCCCAAGGTTTTGGGATCATTCATGTGCTATGTACAGGGTTCGGAGATTAGAAAAAAACAAGAGCCTAATTTAATTCGAAAGGATATTTTCGAATTAAAGGGGGTGCTTTCCCATCTTTTGCTGAAAATAGATTATCTCCCACTCCATCATCATCAACAACATTTTAGTAAAGAGCAGCAGAATGCATGTTACTCTTCAGCTAATAAATCAGCACAAGGGCTTTGCTAAGATAGTTGTACATTGATCAGCTTTTGTGCAGATTTGAAGAGGTGTAAGCACATACACAAATAGTTTGTATGCATAAAAGCAAATTTGTAAGCTGTCTTAAAAAAGGACTGTGCGTTTCCTGCTATCGCGGTTCTCAGCTAAAAATTTTCTAGTCACCTCAAAGCGTTTCTGAACCAAGGAGAAATCTGGAAAGAGACTGTCTCTCTTGATGTGAATAAAATTCTCTGGAACATCAACTGCTCCAGCAACTTTTCATAGGAAAACAGAAACTGCTATTCTGAGCCAGAGGAAGGAGACAGACTTTGCTAATGTTTTTAGATATCACCAGCATCTCTCATATATGATACCCTGACTACAATGACGGATCAGCTCTTTATTCCATGTCCATTTTAAAGCTACTCTAGGTCTCTGACCTCTGTGGCGTGGCACACTGAGGACACATGCTCTCCTTGAGTTCAGATTGGAGTGAAAGGTTTGGAGTGCATGGTTTCACTCTCAGATCACACTCTGTTCTTGCCTGGGAAGTCCCAGAGAAGTGTCTGCTCTCAGGACTGGCCTGTTCAGTACGCACATGAAGCGCCTCAGCAACCTGGAATGTGAAAAAGACCTATATGATCCTTGTCATCCTCTCCTCCAACTTACCTTCTCCTTGCAGGGTGCAGCTGGAGACACAAGAGGCTGAAGGTAGAGGAGAGAAAACCCACTGACCAGTTCTGAGCTTCACAACACCCCCTTATTTGACATCTCTTCTCCCTGACTCCTTGCAGATTGTTACTCTGCTTATACTCCAAGTGCATCTGAACACCCAAACAGTGCTCCCACACAGTAACATTTAAATTTTTCTGTTGGCAGATATGAAAATTCTAGATTATTGGGAGACCAAAAATAGCAATTATTCAAGCATCTCTTAGTCTGTGCAGTTGTTCTTCACTAGGACTGTGGTTCCTATTCTTCAGTGACCTAATGAATATATATCATCCCAATTGGAGGTCTGGGGTCCCTTACCAAACCTGCTTTAAGCAATTTTCCCAAGATACCCTCTGATATTTTTCAGCCTGCTTTAACAAGAGCTTTGTCATGATGTTCCATAGTACCACTCAGCTGGAATGTTTCCAAATTTAGCAGCTCAGACCCTCAATCTGAAAAGACCTTCATATCCCTATATCTTCACATTCAAAACAAAATGTGGGTTTCAACTTTGGTTTTGCCATTAACATATTATGTGATGTAAGGCAAAATATTGAATCCCGCCGCAGGATTGTTGGGGTTTTTTACTTTCCTACTCCAGTTTTATGTTACTAAGCTTATAAGATTTTAGTGTCAGGAAAGAGTTTTACTGGGCATACACAGAAAAGAAAATGTCCCGAATTGCAACACATACTATTATAACTTCAATAAAAATCCGTCACTGTGTCCATTTCCCTGCATGTTTATCAACTGCACATTTTCCACACAGATTTTTATATTATACATTCACACAGTGTCCTTCGCCGCCACCTTTCCATTTTGACAGTGTTTATACACTTGAACAATACATTCAGAAAAAAGTTGAAAAATAGAACAGTTAGATGTTCGCCGTTATCCCAGGGTATTGTGTTCATTTTCTAGTGAGTGCCTCTAGTGCACTGGGGTCCCTAATCAATGTAAATATTGTTTAAGATGAACCTTGCAGTGGGCATACCATGGAGCCAGACCACCAGCAGAGCATTAAACAGGGACAGATGTGAATGCCAGGATAAAAATGAAGACATTCCTGAAGTGTAAGTATGTTACTTATATCTGTTTATAGGAAATGGTAGCAGAAAAAAACAAAACCAAAATTTCTGGAAAATAAGAATGTGAGTTAAAATCATTGTGTTGAGACTTTTTCTTTTTCTTTTTTTTTTTCTAAAATAGCAAACTGAAAATATGTGATATTCTGGTATCTTGAGCTATTAATATCTACTAGCTTTAATCTTCCATGAATGTTTTTAATTAATTTACAAAGGTATAATCATTTTGGTGATTATCTGTACTGCACAAAAATGCATGGTTTTATTTTATGCACATGGCTTTCTCTCAGAAGTAGTATCTTTTATAAGATTAGAGGACCTAATTAGGATAGCAGACAAAGAGTTTCATGCTGTCTCAAACAGTCATTCAAGGAGAAGCAATGAGAGAGAGAAACCTCCTCTTGTAATTTATGAAGATCATCTGATTCCTACTCCTTTCTTAGTAGTAGATTCATGTTGATTAGTTCACTAGCTGTCAATTTCCATGAGCAATTATACAGCAGATTTCCTACTGATATTTAAACACATTTGTTCCTTGCTGGCTTTGTAGTCAGGCTGTTCTCTATGCTGCCTGATTTAGAGATTATTGGTGACATTTGTGGAGCGCACATCACGCTGACTATTCATGGTACAGGTACACGTGCTGCCTGTCCCTGCCAGGGCAGGGATGGTGGCAGTGCCTACTGCTGTGGAGCTGGTGATGGCACAAGCTGACCTGTGTGGGGCAGGATGGGCAGGATGGGGATCCCTTTTGGTTAAGTAGGCAGTGTTGGGGATCCCCACTGGAGGAGGGCAGGGCCAGGGAGAGCAGCCTCCTGGAGACAGAAGAGAGGGGAGACAACTCAGATGATGTGGTGATGTGACCAAAACATATTTTCAGAGTGCTCTGTTCTCAACAGCATCCAGAGCTGGAAGTTCTCAGTCCTTACCTGCCACAGAGGGTTGAAGCATCCCCTATTAAGAGAGAGTGTCTTAAAAGTCCTTGGCCCAAAAGCTGGAGCTTTGATCTTTAGAAAGGTGAATGCAACAGATGTGTTTAAAGTGAGCCACAGTGTTTGATAGCAGGGTGGGTATCAGTCATTACTGCTGAGTCCTTAGGAAGAGTCTTATTTAGCTTCAATATTGATTTCTTGATGAGTGATGGCAGAGAATCTGGTGGAACTAGCATATTGGATTACTGTCTAAGCCAACAATGATTTAGAACTGACTTGATTAAGCAGGACGGTTTGGGATAGGTCAATGGAATTTATAATTAATTGTTTTCCATTTTGTAGCAAAATCAACTACAATACCAGCCTTCTAAAATGTGATTAGCACAAACACAATTGTTGTTTGACACAGTTTATCAGATATAATTATTTCCATATGAGATCTACAATTTTGCTTTTTTACATTCTTGATTGCATAATTGAAAGCAGCAGCTTTATCTTTCTTGTACCTTTAGTGGAAGTCATTCAATAAATAGTAGATTAGAAATGTCTGCTGCAAAATACACTGCATTTCACTGGCTCTTGCCAATGCACCTTCAGTTTTAAGAAAACAACTGAAAGTTTGCAGAGTGCATGTCAATATTGAAAGAACCGTATAAGCTACAGAAAAATCACTTTATGCCTATGTTATATATGAATATCCTATGTTCGGTATCATGCTGCTGGGTGTTTATTCATGTGAAGTAGAGTTTAATATTAAGAGCAGTCACTGTACTAAAAGGAAAAATATGTTTACTGTTCTCAGAATTTATCTTGCATTTGCCCAAAATCCTACACTGTCTAACATGGGTTGTTCTACCAAAATTTAGAGAAAGAAGGACTGAACCCAAAAAATGGCTCACTGTTAGAAAAAACATCTTATTCCTGAAAAATGTATACTTGTGATTGACCATATGCATGTGAATATTTCCATGACTACAGAGGATATTGATTGGTCCCTGTGGGACTACTCATGTGTATAAATGCTCGAAGGATCGAGTTCTAATTTTGCTCAATATCAGAGCTAATTGCTGTAGATACTATTGACAAAAAATGAAGGTTGTCTCCTAGCTGTGGCTGCTGAAGATGTTCCATGAATGTTTTTCATGGGGTGATATATTACACGTTTGCTTTTTTAAAACTGTCCAAATACAGTCAGTGACTATTTATACAATTAAATTTAACAACTATGAAATATGTGTTACAGTGCCAGTTTGAAACATATTCCTAATAGCTGGTTTTATATATGATGGACCACCAGGAAGCTGTCATTAGAATAATACTGTGCCTTTTTATACATTCCCTAGGTCTCTTTTTTACTTAATAGACTGTTTAATAATACTGTAGTCAAAACTGAACAATAGAGATTAATGATTTGATGTACAAATACTTCAAGGTAAAAATTAAACATTAATAGCATTCCAGCTGGTGATAAAGTATGGAAGCCTCTCAAGCACATAAAGAAGAGTTTCAAGAGCTGTTTTAGAAAATCAACACACATAGAGAACATGGGAAAGGAGAGTGTTGTGTAACACGTCACCAGGCAAGCTTTACCTTTTCATGGGAAAGGTACTATAGAGACCACACAAACATCAGGAAAAAACCCCCACAACCCGAAACAAAACAAAAACCCCAGACCTGTTTTTTCAAACAGAAAAAAACAGTTCTTCAGAGCTAAGAGAGATTCAGAAGTGATCTAACTGTAAAATAATAAATATGAGGGGAAAATTTACTTATTTTTTCCCAGTGTTACATAAGAAAATTTCTGTTTTGCAGACCCTGCATGAAACAGCAATGTCCTATTTTTCCTTAATGCTCTTGATTTACTGGGCTCATAAAATGTAATACCAGAAGCTCTTCTTAATATGGACTCATTCTACTGCTAATGCACACAGGCTGTTTTTTGTCTTAGTGTCAATTCAAGAGAACTTCACTTGATGTGTTTGTAAAACAGTAGAAATGTTGCCTGCAAAAGGGAAAAATAGTCATGTGAGTTTACAGCATCAGTTGCTAGATTAACAGCTCTCAGCTTGCGTTCCTTGTTTCAGGGCGACCCTTGGAAAACACATTCACAAGGAAGGAACGGGGAACCAGAGAAAGTCCATTGCAAAAGGATACCCGTGCAGGTGTGGGGAAAGTTCCAGGTCCTACAGAACTGCTGTTACTGCTGTTTTCAGCATCAGCCAAAGCTTAATTTCTCCTCTGTGACCAACTGCTCTGGCTCAGTGGGCATCAGCGGTGTAAGATTCCTCTCCCACCTGGCACACACCAGTCCAGCAGCCAGCCTGTGTGCTATGCCAGTCCTGGGCTTTGTCACACAGCACTGCCCAAAGATGGTCTCCACTGGCCGCAGGCATCCTGAAACACAGCTAAGCACATTCCCATTCTCAGGAATCTACAGCAAATCCACTGAGTTCCTTGGAGATGGAAATGGCTCTCACTGTGGCTTTTGGCTTTCCAGCCACTTCCAGTAGGCAGCACGGGTACTCTGGCAGCAGAAGCCAGCTGATACACTAAACCATGCTAAAGTAGTGTTTAGAGAAATGGTAATTACTAACATCCTTTCTCAGTCAAGCCGACACTAACCAGGCCTACTGCTAGGTGTGTGTATATACACACTCACACTCAATAGATAAATAGATACGTGCATATACTCCAGGAAAAATATCTCTCTGGAAGGTGACGAGGTCTCACTTTAAATCAAGTACCTGACACTAATAAAAACAATGTATTCAGCCAGAAGACCTCGCACACCGACTGGCTACAAGGTAAGTCAGTATGAAGCAACCCTTTCTTTTCTGCCCTCTCAGTTGCTTTTTGCTGTATCATGAGTGTTCTTTGAATCTTCACAAGTGTTTGTAAACAGACACTTTAAAATAGGAGCTTTTTTTTCTTTCCTTTTTTTCTTTAAATTAATTTTATCAAAAGAAATTTGGCCGTAGTTTCATATATTCCATGGTTTTAAAATTACCCAAAATACTGACAACTTTAAGACTCTCTATCTTCCTCCCTTCTCATAAGGGATTTTGCTATTCAAACTGTTTTGTCTGATTTCTTTTTAAATAATTACAGGTGGGAGGTAAAGCTGTCAAAGTATCCACAAGAATTAGGAGACCACTGAAGTGATTAAGGTGTCAAAGCTCCTTTTGCAGAGAGAAAAAGGCTCATTAACTGTTTAGATGTTTGAAAAATTTTATATAATGATCCTACCTAATAAATTTCCTGTTATTTCTGAAAGATTATCAATCAAATCAGCAAATAATTTACTGTCTCTTAGTAGTGGATAAATGTTAAAATACTACTTGATGACTTGTTGAAGTAATCAAATAGGAATTAGGAAACAAACGTCTTGCTAGGCCATCTTATTGCTTACAGCTATTTGTCGTTATTCTTGTTGGTAGAAAAACCAAGTACTAGCAATTAATATAAATCATGCACAAACAGCTTGTTGATATCTAACCTAGAAATATCTTCAATAGAATTATGTAGCTAATATTTGTTGGTTTTTTCTGGTAGCATTTGTTTGAATATTGATTTCTGCAGAGGAAAAACGGTGAATGATTTTACAGAAACAGAATTAATTAAAGAACCATATACGACTGTATATTTCTTGTTTTCTTGAACTTGATTTCGCTCTCACTCAAAATTCAATCCTGTAGGACACTGAACAGCCAATCTTCGTTTCAGCGAAATACTTTTATGCAGATTTCACTTTAATCCTATTGATTTTGCTGAAACCACACATACCAATGTGGGAGAGAAATTCAGCAAAGCTACACATTAAAAACAAGAAACTGAGTATTCACTGCAATTTGCTCAGAGAAGATTAAGACCTCTGCTTAATAATTAGCAACTGAATTAACAGTTCAAAAGGCAGCTTAAAAAGAACTAGGAATAAGTTTTTCCCTCGCATCTTTGTTTGGATTTTTCTTTGTGTTTCCAGAAACATTTCTAGGATCTATTCCTGCAAATATTTTTCTACATGAGTAATTTAATTCCTCTGATAAATGCTATTGAATTCACAAGGGCTAGATTCAAAAGCAAAGTTACTTATCTGGGCAAATGCATCTAGGATGGGACTGTTAGGCAGCTCCCTATGACAGTAGAGAAGAGAAAAATAGCCTTTGCCTGTGGGACTAAGGCCTGGAGAACTGGGCCCATAGCCAGTGACATTATAGTATTTTTTTTTAATAAGGAGGAAAACCCACGCATGAGTGAAACCATATGGAAAACCGAGTTAAGGTGAGGAGGTTTTAAGTAATGCTTATTTATCATTTTGAAAGAGAAAAAAAATCCTGTTCCTGCCTATTGCATTTTATACTTTAAATGTAGGGACTGATCCTTTTGCCAAAATTCCTCTCCTTGTTGGGAGGAAAGTTATCTGCTTAGGCTGCAGCAGGATCAGGCCCTGAAAAGTCGTTACAAGCTTGTTGGCAAAGCTTGCTCCCTTCCACCCCTCTCCTGTTCTCTGTTTTTCCTATCCCTACACAGGAAGAAAATTAAAAGTTAAGCTAAAATACATTAACTAATATCAGTTTATTAATTGGAGAATTCAGCTTATCCTTTCTGCTGTTCATCTGAAATTAATTAAGTGTGTAGCATTACAAGGTGGGTGTACCACAGGCAGCAGTCCAGGCTCAAGTTAATCAAAAGAGCACATGTTGAATGCATACAATTTAGTTAAGGTTAATCCAGTGAAGATGATCCCTCGCTGGTCCTAATTACTCTAGGTGATATATTGTGGAAGGGGAAAATAGGAAGGAAGGGAAATTTTGTCCTGCTGGCCTACCAGGATTTTCTAATTAAATTTAGTAGGCTATGCACAGGAGCAAATAGTTTCAATTTGAAGAGAAGACCACACTCCAAGGGTGCTTGTCTGAAACTAATATAAGGAACTTTGAGCTAACAGAGTTAAGCATCACACCTTAAAAATATTAAAGCTGGTCCTTGTGCCTTTACAAGTTTCCAAGATACTGGAAGCACTGTGTCTCTCTGAGCACTTCAGACCTGTTGTATGTACATTTTTTGCTGCTGTAATTGTGATGTTTCTATTTAACTCTTGAGCAAAGGTAACAACACACTAAACCAGGCCTACTCTGTTACTTCACTACCCTCACCCGAGGAGCACAAGGCAGTAGGACAGCGCTATTTTGCATATCAAAATGTGTTGGTTTTGTATTAACAAAAGCCTTTTCATTTAATCTTTTTTTTATTATGTCAATCCAAAAGAAAATAAAGGTGATTTTAGGACTCTGACTTCATGTTCTATGTTCATTACCTTGTTAGGTTACTTTTTCTTCACATTTGTCCTTTGATTGAGTTTTCAAGGAATCTTATGAAAAGCTTTTTTTTTTCCTCTAGGTATATGCATATAAAATTTGTCAAATAATTTGCCCTATTTTTCAGGTTGGTGATATATCTCTGCTCAAGTGGAGGTATCTGTTTCTGATTTATTAACATTTGATCCCCTGGTTTCCTGCCATTGATCAAGACTAATACTCAGCTCAGCTGATGAGTTTTATATGAAATCTGATATTGCAGGAAGAAAGAAAAGTTAGTTCCATTTTTAATATTTTGCTATTTCAAGGATTTTCCAGGACCACAACATGCACATGAGACACCTAACAATATTGGGCAGAATGTGTTATACACACATACATATATATACACACACATACCGTTTCCCTGGGATAAAAATTTTTGGAAGTAAAACAAGTATTTATCAATAGAACAGATGTTTGCTTGGTGTCATTCACATCCTGTAAACTGTATATACATTTACACCCTACCGCCAAAACATGGTTTCACCCTACTACTGACCGTCTGTCTGCCATTCAATCTCTAGTTAAGTCACGGTCAATAAGGTCAACTCTTTGGCAACATCTGTATTTGATCACTTCACACAAAATAGGAGCCTTCCTAATGCCTGAATACCCTGAAGTATTTTAAGAGGCAGCGTATTACAATAGTTGATTCACCGCTGCTGCAGACTCTGCACTTGGAAGATTTTTGCCTCCTCTGAAGAACTGAAATGTGAAGATTAAAATCCTTTCTAGCAAAATAAATCTCCAAAATGAGCAGGTTTAGCTGTGGAATAGCTTCTAGACTGACAAGAAGTGTTTAGCAGTTTCTCTCCCCGAGCCCCTGGTCTCTTGGTGTAGGGATTTGGGGTTGTGATATTTTATATTTTAACCCTGTTCTGCACACGGATTATGTTTAAAGCATGTCTAGGTTGTTGCAAAGATGAGAAGTAAAGTCAGCGAAAAAAACTCTCTGCACTTTTACTTCAAAAACCAGCAGTGAGGATTAATGCAGCCAATTGTTTCCTGTTGGTGTTTCTGCGCTCGGCACAGGCAGTACTCCCAGCAAGTCGGTCTACTTTCTTCAAGATGAGTGAATGCAAATTCTTCCCTTAAAGAAAGCAAAATATTCTGTGTGGAATCCTGGCCCCACTGAAGGTGATGGAAAATACTCTGGCAAAATTGAGTGAGACAGGATTTAACCTGATGTTACCACTGCATTATTTCAATGCTGTGAGCTATCTGAAAGTACAAGGTTAGAAATTTGATTCTAAGCACAGTCAGACTGGTGCCACTTTATTGATGTTCCTGGTTTTAGTGCAAATGAGAATAAAATCTGGCCTGTGGGAATGGGATCATGGGATGTGTTCTCTTTTTTCTTTTTTCTTTTCCTTTTTCTTTTCTTTTTTTTTTTTTTAGTGTTTGCTTTAGGAACAAAACATTTGACTCTTGGGAAAAGCAAAACCAGTGCCCTCTGATGCCTTCATGCATTATGAGACTTGGACCTGACTACAGATTATTATACACCGATAAAGACCAATGCTCCAGTTGTACGGTTGGTCTTTCCAGGCGTGTTTAACACTGAGGAAAGCCTGAACACCGAAATGCTCTCTCTCTGCTGGGTGTTGGAAAAACAGAATAGAGCAGCAAGAGTGCAGCAGCATCCCACCACCAGCCACAGGGTTGTCTTTAAAACAGGACTGGACTGAGTGGTACCATAAGCAAGAGGTAACTGGGACCTTCTTGGGACTCATCTGATGAGAGGATGGCTTTTTAAAATATTTTTATGATGGAGATATTGTTCGCAAAATATGGTGTTGAGAAATCAATGGTTTTGTTTGCACTTTTATTTCTAAAAGAATTCCTTTTTATTTACTTTCTGTCGTGCTGAATTTTCAATGGAAACATTTGACCAAAAGCATAGCAAGGAGCACGTGAACTAATTCTGTGAAAAGAATTGGGATAAAATTTGAAAGCACCTTGAGACAGTGAAATCAATGCATCATGTGAATCTATTTTCTTTGCAATTTTAGTTCTCTAAAGAGCCCTGGAAACCTCAGAGGAAGCTTGTCCTGAGTGCACATGTTTGATCTGGGAACTGTTCAGATACAGCAAAGTCAAAACCTTCTAAATATTGAGGGTTCTAGAATGACTGATGTGAGCTGTGGACACAGAGGACGTGCAACAAAAAATGTAGTTCAGTTCTTATCCCTCCCTTCAGTACTACTTGTATAACATTCACAGATTTTTCTAGAACTTGCTACAATATATTACATATTCTTTAGGTTTGCCCACCCTATCATTTTGACCTGTAAAGCTGCCTTAATAGTTCTGTTTTAAGAATACAATGTTACATCTGTTCTGAATTTCTTTATTAGGAGTAATTCTACCATGCCTATGACTTTCAGTAGCACAGCATTTTGATCCTTTAGAAGATGAGGGAGATGAAGCCTGAGATCCCCTTCAGATTAGTCAGAAAAAAAAACCCCAAAGGCTTACAAATGTTTCAGGATTGTCTCTCAGAGTAAGGAAAACACAGTTTTCTTAACTTAGACAGTGGACTCTTATTGAAATATAAATATTAAATTAAGTCAAAATTGTAATGAAAACTTAGAGAAAGCCTAATGTCAAATAAGCAGCAGAAAAAGCAATTGCCAACTAAGCCAACAGCAATCTAGAGTTTAACTTCACTAAAAGTGGTGTCCAGTCCTGGTAAGGTTCAGCTGGTTGCTGTCTCTGCAACTGATTGCTGCATCAGGCTCCATCCAGGCCTCAGGGGACATCACCTCCGAGCTGGGAATGTGTGGAAACCAGATGACTCATCACACAAGAGATCTCCTTTGCAAAATATCCTAAAATCAGTATAGATTCAGTCTAAGAAAATAAGGAACTTTTCACAGTGAAAAAAGTGAATGTTTCATTGAAGTATTGGCAGATGATGTTTCTGAGGTCTCTTTCTTCAAGTATTTTTAAATGGGCCTGATGGATTGTTTAAAAACTGACTCTAAAGGCAAGAGATGCTGAAGAAATACTAATGGAAGCTGGGAAAGGTACAGTCTCACAGCTTGTGTCATATGGAGGATATTTCCTGGGTGTCTTCACTGCTTTCAATAAAATACAGAGAGAGAAAATGTGCTGGACAATTGCAATATCAAAGAAAGAGCCACAGATAGTTCTACAATTCTATTTCACAGTCCTCACTCTCAGAAGGAGATGAGTGCATCAATGAAAGCGGAGGTAATAAATGTAGTAGTGGTTAAAATGTAGTAGTGTGATTTAAAATGTAGAGCTGGAAAATAACAACAGCATTCATGGGAAAATGTAACACAGTACACCCAGGGAAACGTAATTTGAAACACAGACATCCAAAGGGAGGGAGAATCCTAGAAAGCAGCAATGCTGGAGGAGACCTCAGGGTCAAATGAGACATGAATTTGCAATATGATCTAACAGCATGAGCAGGCAGTGCAGTTGTGCTGTACAGAGAGGGGCGTATCTGGGAACGTGGAGGTTGCTCTCCTTCCTGCCACGGCTCTGGCCACACCAGGAGCTGGGTCCTTGGTCACTGGGAAGGAATTGAAAACAAGGGAGAGTTAAGGAAGAAGGAGAAGGTGGACCGACATGGAGTGTCTATGGGGAGAAATGCAATAAAAACACCCACACCTCCCTTTCGTAAGGCTTCAGGCACCAAGCAAGTACCTTTGCACTGGACCTAAATCAACTGGGGCTGTCTGCAGTTGGCCTTGTCCCTGTGCTCAGAGCTGGCCTGACGTGGGCCACAAGGTGTCCTGCTGCCAGAGACACACAAGGTGAGGAGGTTTGGGCCTCACAGTGCTGGCAGCCTGCAGACCCCTGTCCTTGGGAGGCCTTGGCTGGGACGTGCAGGAGCCGGGCCCACAGCACAACAGCGCAATGGCAGCTTCTGCTGCTACCAAAGGGAGCTGAGCCTCCTGCCACACAGAAACATTGGGCTGAGGCCATGGGAACCCCACACACACCTTGGGGACCTGCATGGCCCCAGCAGGAGCTGGCAGCTGCAAGAAGCTCTGGGAGCAGGGAGCCCAAGGCTGGCCTGGGCACCAGGGAGGAACCCCACTGCCAGGCCCCACGCCATGGCTGAGACACATTTCGCTGATGAGCTGGTTACACATCATGATTGTGGGGGCCAGAAACCAGAACCCAAGGCTGCTCCCTTCCACACTCCCCAAGTAATTGTTCTGGGAATAAATGGGTGACAAAATGTTCAAATTCTTGAGTGAGCATGCAAATCTGTACTGCTCAGGGCAGCTGTGTCTAAAATGGCTCCTCAGTTTGCAGCTGTTGATAAACATTTGGAGCCATATTCTCTGCTCTGGTTGAATGACTATAGTGAAAGTCTAGGTTATTACATCATGACTATGATTATGACTACAGGCAGGTTGAGCTGGTTTTGGCTGGGATAGAGTTAATTTTCTTCATAGCAAGTATGGGACTGTGTTTTGGATTTGTGCTGGAAACAGTGTTGGTAATAGAGAGATGTTTTGGTTACTGCTGAGCAGAGTTTACACAGAGCCAAGGCCATTGCTGCTCCTCACAATACCCCACCAGAAAGGAGGCTGGAGGGACGCAAGAAGCTGGGAGGGGACACCAGGACAGCTGACCAGAGGGATATTGCTTTCCATGCAGCACATAAAGCTGGGGAAAGGAGAGGGAAGAGAAGGAACATTCAGAGTGATGGCACTTGTCTGTCAAGTGACCATCATGCATGATAGAGCCCTACTCTCCTGAGGAGAGCTGCACACCTGCCTGCCAGTGGGAAGTGGTGCATGAATTCCTTGCTTTGCATGCTTTGCTTGCATGCATGTCTTTTGCTTTACCTATTAAAGCATCTTTCTCCCAACCCATGAGTTTTCTCAGTTTTAGCGTTTCAGTTCCCTCCTCCACCCTGCCATGGGGGTGTGAGTGAGTGGCTGTGTGGGGCTTGGCTTCTCTCTGGGTTTAAACCATGACACAGGTGCCCTGGGAAAACATGCATGGAGAACTGCCACATCCTGCATGGAGAGCTACACTTATACCTCCTTTACTCTGCGATGCCTCTGGAGTGTCTCTCCAGGCACTATTTGGTCTCCTAGTGGCGCTCAGAGAAATCTTCTGACTCCAGTTGGTCTTCCTAGATTGCTGCAGCAGCAGCAGCTCTGTTATGTCTTGTCTCATTGCCTTCCTGCAGACAGGCTGGGAAGAGACACAGCACACACTCTCTGGGAGCCACAAATATGGCTTGGAAGCTCAGGATGAGCAACAGGGTACTGTCATGAGGGCCAGGCCATGGTTCTTGGCATACTGCATGGGGGAAAAAAAAGCAGTTCTCAAATATATGAGGATTTTTTTGTGTTACTGGAAGTTTTAAAATGTCTGTTTTTCAAAATCATTCCATCAAGGAACTTAACTAGAATAAAGCCATTCAGTATTTTTAATCTAGTCTTACTTCTTGCTTTATGGTATCTCTATCAGTAACAGACATTTGCTATTATGCAGAAAAAAATTCAATTCAACTGAGAAAGCTATTTGCTAACTAAAGCTGGTGTATGAAATTGCAAATGATGGTTTATAAAGTCAAAAATCCTTTTCTTCAATATGACCACAGAGGTCTGAAATGTAAGCTTAGACATCTACAATATAAATTCCTAATAGTATCTATCAAAAACTTGATGAGTGGCTGTTTGCATACATGGAAGCATAAATAATATCCATCAGAAACCACTGAGTTTGACAGAATTCCAAAGGAGGCTACATATTTTAGGTCACTGAAGTCTGGTGAAGGGAATTAATTGTGGACTGACTTCCATTTTATTGCTGTTATTAAGAAAAAAGTTAATGGTTCAGCGCCAAGTTGCAGCATGAAAAGATTTTTTATGTGCAGCCAAGTTATTAGGATGGTGAAATAATATTCTGTCCAGTAGATGGCCAATTATCTGTTAACACAAACTGAAAAAGAGCTAGAAAGCTCTTTGCACGGCCTTGCCTTGCCTTGTCTTCCCTCCCCTTCCCTTTCCAAACAATATCTTGTGCCAGGTTCTTCATCCAGCAAAATGTGTTCATGTACAACGCTGGGTGTGACCAACAGCATCATTTGGCAAAAGCTCTGTAAAATACTCTATTTCTCCACTTACTCCATGTTTCTCCAAGTGCTTAAGAAAAAGTTAATTAGGTGATTGTGCATCAACTTCAATATTTTGAATGCTGCTTTTCCAGTTCATGTGATTTTTATCTAGAGAATGTAATAGCTACTAGACAGGAGACGAATGGCCAGCATTATCAGTTTCTACACAAGTGGTATATCCTATGATTGTCTGACAAATTTAATTAGGATAATTCACCAGAAGAATAATTAAAAACCCCAAATAGTTTGCACTAGGTCCACCAGTTTTAATCTCTACCTTAGAGATCAGATTTCATTCTGTCAAGCAACAGTATTTAACTAAATTAAAAGAAATCCCACTCCATTACTGCTGAACTGAAGAAACTTTAGCCCAGTTTATTTTTCTGCTGTACAGGCAGTAAGTCCTAACTCAGCTGTACAATGGTTGTTGTGGAAAGCAGTGCCCAAAAACTCTTCAAACAACATTTTGCACTGAATTGGAGCAGCTGAAGGACAATGGAGAAAAAGAAATAACAAGGGAGAAAAAAGAAATAAGAGGATTGCAGGCACCATGTCTCTCAAGGGCTGTGCAAGCACAAGCCTTTTGCCCCCCAGAAATGAATTAAAGACATAAATGAATGCTGCTGCAAGAAATGGTATCACTGTTAGCTCTTTTGTTTGCCTTTCCCCTAAGACATAGATCTGAAGAGTAAATGGTTATTTTGGCTCAGTCCTCTGTGCAGGCAGGACTGAATCTTGCCCCACTATGTCATGGGCACTTTGGGTCAGTCTGTCTGTCTTGAGGGCTCTTTTTTGAGGGCTTGAGGTTTGGGCTGAATGTTATGTATCATTGTGCACCAAAGAGTGTGGTGGAAAAAGTAACATCTCTCTAATGCCAGACAGAAACATAACATTAATCAAGTACAGCCTCTTTCTAATCTTTTTTCACCTTTCATAAAATAGGACTAGGATTTCCACCATATTTTTGGTGATACAAACGTTATTTCCCTAATATTTGCAAAGGACTTTTTGGGCCTCATTTAGAAAGTTTTTGGAGATGCTGGAGTTGTTTTACTTCAAGTCTCTGTTTGCAAGCTAGTTTTTCTTCTTTCTGGTATCATCCTAGACACCAACAGTATGTCAAGAAAAACAACCCTGAAATGTTTTAAACTAAAAATCTTGTGAACTTTGAGCTGCTGACATGACTTCCACGGCTCAAACTACCAAAACAGGGGTTTTAATATATTTCCTTATGATATAGATTTTTATTTTCATCTACTGATGATTTTAAGTCACTGCAATGAACACCTTGTTGTCCTTGAAGCACAACTCAAGCAGACCACTCTGGGGTTTTGAATGCCCCCTTCCTCCACATCCAGCTTGCTCCAACACCCTCATTGCAAGGGATGGGAATGGTGCTCCCTGCTCCAGCCTTGCTTTGGCCTCTGGAGAGGAGCCTGCCTTCGGGCACAAGTTCAATACCTTTTCTCCACCAAAGGACCATCAGTTCCAAGCCCCTTTACAAAAAGGAGCCTGTATTTTTATTTAGAATATAATGCTGGAAAGCCATCTCTGAAGTGAAGGGCTTTGTGAGAAGCATGTGGTCAGACCAGATCAGGAGCAAAAGCCAAATACACTGTGCAGTGAGGCCAAGGGTTGGGTTTGAAGCTAGATTCTGATTAGCTCACCGAGGGATAAGACACTTGCATGTTTTTAAAGATAACTCCTCAAACGCTTTGCTAGGACTTCTGAACCTTTTCCACACTCCAAGACATTTTACAACAAACAAGAATTTGTTTTCTTCCTTCCTACCAGCCACAGGCAGAGGGGAGTTTGCCAGAACCTGTTAGAGCCCTGATGGGTGACTGTGGTTCAATGTGAATTACAGCATCAGACACCTGTTTGCCAGGGCAATTGTGCAAGGAGAGAGCCTGTCTCTACAGCCAACGTGGAGATGTAAGAACTTGCAAATTTTCTGTTGTTGCTTTTGAACTTTGTTCCTTGGTATTTTGCAGTTATTGTTTTAACTTCAGCAGGGGACTGACCCCTTTTCTAAAATCTTGGTGTCAGTATTAGATGGTAGATGATGAGATCATTAGAGGTACTGTTGCAGGATGAATAACTGGACTCAATCAAATATTAGAAAAACTTTAAGTCAAGACTGAATAGGCTGCCTCAGTTGTTTTTGTCTTCCTAGCCTGTTTTCCTTTTATTCACTTTTCATACTGAAGTTCTTTCCTGTGCAAATCCTTCCCTTTAATTGTTTAAAGCATTTCACTTATTTGTTTTTTTTTCCCCCTTACCTCAGTTCAGGAAACATTGCAGGTCTTGATAGTCTGTTTTTTCTTTCTCCATAGGTTTCTTTTGAAAATCAGGAGGAAAATAATATCTGCTCTCCTGGTATATTCTGAAAGTACTGAATTTTCAGAGATTACTTAAGATATGTGTTTTAATAATAGGATCAGAAGAGGCAGCTGCCTAATGATTAGAATTTGTGGTTTTATCTGAAAGTATTGCTCTCTCTAAAATCTCTTTAATAGCATGCTAAATGATAAAAACATTAATTAGATAAATGTACATTAATCCTCCAGCTATGTGTAATGCACCCTTTGATGTAGCCTGCTTAGGAGCTTTAGGTCTGCCTGGCATTTCCTTTTCCCCAAGAATATTATTTTTTCAATAATTCAAGCAGGTATTTTACTGTGTTTCTTCAGTGTTGCTGTGGAAGAACAAGGTTCTAGTTGAGTGGAAGTTGCTAGGAGAGCCAGTTTCCAGGGCATGAAACTCTTTCATTTGAGGGGGCAAAGGTCGACTCAACAAGAAGTTGAGTCATGCCAAAAGCGGACAAGTGTGTCCCCTGGGAGAGAGCCAGCAAGACCATCCCATAGAGGAATTCCCTGCCTGAGGAAGGTGTTTCAGTCTGGAAAGCCTACTGGGTTTTCTTAATCAATGCTAGACTTTGACAAGTGTGGAAATAGTTGTTAAGTCATCTTAGAATCATAAGGCAGTTCATATGCAGCTTCTGGACTTTCTAGTGCATGTTTTTTAATTTAAACCAGGGAAACTTGCAATGCTAATTACAACAACATGTCATTACTGTAATTTTTCAGATGTCTCCAATCAATACCAGTATTAGAGGTCACACAGATTTCAGTGTGTGTATTTTGCAAGTATTCATATTTTTCCTTGGTTGTAGCGTTAAAGAAAGCATGTGTGCAGTGCTTAGCACAGGTTTCTTAGATAATCTGGAGAAAAAGAGGAAGAGTGAAATTTATGGGATTTGTCTTAATAAAAAGTTTTGCAGGGTTTCTATTTGCTCATCTGGTGCTACTTCGCCTTCAACCTGTCAGCATCATCTGAAAGGAAGTTCATAAAGCATGCATGTATACATGTGACTGCATGGGTATGTGTGATCAGGAGAAAGGGAGCACAGAGGTGACATACTTCTTCAGGCTGCATCCTCCAAAAAGCATATATTAAAAAAGAAAAAAGGTTGCAGAAATTTCACCCACTTTTTTTTCTAATGAACAAGATAACTATATTATGAAAAAGCAATAAACTCTCAAGCTATGTATTTTTTTACAACCTTTATGGTGAATTAGCACTTGATTTACTTGATTATTCAAAGACCAACAAAAAGCCCCTCCATGCAATGTGGGCTGTGGCAGTATGTTTTTTACAAAGGTGTTGCAAGGGTTTTAAGAAGTGCTGACTGCAGATTGCAGATGTGATTTGTGGTTGTGGGTGTAAGGTGTGTATTCACAGATGATGTGGGCAGCTGATTATACTTCTCATTTCCTACTGAGAGCAGTCTGCTTCCCTGGGACATACTTCTTTTGTCTCCTTGAGAGGCGTTGCTAGAGCAAAGACCTTTACAATACCCCAGAAACCTGGATCAGAGCTTGGTGAGAGGAAAATGCTGGTAGATAATCTTAGACCGTGACCTTGAGGTTTTATAGCATCTTGAGACATTTCATACAGCAACCAAGTGTTTGCAAGTTAATCTTTCAGAAAGAAGTGTGAATCCTTGTCCTGCAGTTTGTGTGGCAGGACCTGTACTGCCTCAGTCTGGAGGTTTATCCAAATATGCCATGGAAACAGACTTAATAATGAGACTATTTTTGTAAAAACTCATTCTGTCTCAAGTTTTCTCATCTCCTGATCAGCCATTAACCAACCATTTGTTATTAAAAGACTCTCCTCTTTTCATCCACACACCAACAATATCATCTAGTAACATTCAGCAGACTTGTAGCTGTAACCTGCCAGCGCATTCCTGTTGTGTAATGCATTCAACACATTCCCAGCAGATTTTAATTTACTCTAGCAATGCCTAGATGAATTCACACACAGCACATTGTAATGCAAATGGAATGGTTAAAATAGATCACACATCTCTCTTCCATCTCAATTTCAGTCTAATGTATCATTGCAGCTTATTCTGTAAACTCTTGAAGCCATCTTCATTCAACTGTAAACTAAAGAGACTAGATGCCTATCAGACGAAACCAAAACACTTCTTGATTAATCACAACCTCTTGACCTAATGAGTGATAGCTGTGTTAAAAATGTTGTCATTATCTAAATGGAGTACCCAAACGTCCTGCAGATCCTAAGCAAATTGACTCTCTTCTATTTATAAACAACACTGGAAGATGAACTCCTGGGTTTATACTGGAAAAGGGACATCATTCATTTTTATCCAACATACCTGCTTTTAGTGATATTACCCACACACGCTGGTTCTAGAAAATCTTAACAACTGAAGTGGTTTATATGCTTTTAAGACTAATTTTGAAGTTTATGTGTACATTCATCACACCGGAGCTGGGTGCTCAATATCTACCTAAAATGCATATATTATTAATACATGTTAAAGTTCCTTCTCAGGCTTTCTGTTAGATACTAAACATCATTAGCACAAGATATGGAATTCTGGCTTTTCAGAGTTTGTATAAACGTTATTTGCTGCTGAGGGCATTTTTCCAACACGTAAAATGTGCATCTCTTTGTGTGCATGACAAAGTGATAAATCTTTGAAAAGCCCGTTTTATAGTTATATATTGCCAGTTTTTTGATTAATAAGCTGGTCACATGCAAGTAAAGATGCTGTTATAGAAAAAAAAGTCAAATTATGTGCAGATTTTTTTCCTGTTGCTTCTAAAATATTGGCTGTTTCTTTCTACATGTTGCTCCAATGAAGCCTTGAGAGGAAAGAGGCCTGGATTGCACATGTCCCTAATGATTTACAGTTCTTTTCTTCCAGCAGATGCCTATTTGTTATCATATTACTTTTAATTCCTAGCAGGTATAGTAGTTTTTATTCCTATTAAGTAAAAAAAAATAAAAATTCAAAAACACACAATAAATTAATGCGCAACTAGTTCTTGTGCTGAAAATAAATACAAAGTCAGCCACAAGTTCCTTTTTTGGAAAATAATTGGAATTTAATGCAACTAAAAAATCCCTGTCAGCAAAACGAACAGCACAATCCATTCCACATTTGTAATTTATTGCTACTGTTCCCTGCAGGGTGAATGAAAATGACCAAACAGCAAAAGCCTTTCTCAGCCTGCATGCGCAGATGTGTTGAGGTGCCCAGTGCGCCCAAGCAGCGCAGGTAGATGTGCCACACCCCACCTGTGGCTGCCATGGTTTGATAGACCAACCCCAGGGGCAATCCTGCTCTACAGCCTGGGCTTGGGATCAGCTGTTTTTGGGAAGATGCTCTGCAGCAAGCTACAGCATCCTTCCCCCAGCCTACATGAATGTGCAGCCCAGTCAGCTGGAGTTAGGACCACGAGGATTTAGAGCCTCTCTCTCACCTGGCAGTGGATCTAGAGATTAACACCTCACTAAAAGCTTGCCCACAGGATGCAGAAGGCTTTCCTATTTCTCCCTGATACTTTTCTTGCAAACTCAAGACCTGCACTAGGATTTTTTGCCACAGCTTGCCCTGAAGCTGCCTGTTGAGGCAATTATACACAAAGACAGAAGCCTCCTTTGAGTTGATGTTATGTAGGATAAAACCTATGGTCCTCTAGGAAAAGACTGTATTCCTCAGTCTCCCATTTAATACCTGACACTTAGATGTATGAAAATGCACCCATTAAATGGTCAGATCATGACCATTTAATCAAATTATTCACATCATCATGCCAAAGTAATTTCTCCTTTTCAGTTTTTTTTGCCTCACAGATCTCTAAATCCTGACAGATTTTTTTCAGCAAGGACTCTATGACACTACTGAGACTTCTCATGTGAATACAAAATAATACTGTACCAGAGCTGATCCTGCTGGAATCTCAATGGGAACCTTGATATTTCCTCATTATCAGCTACACTTCAGACATATTTGCAATCCTGTTTTAGCCAACATAACCATACTTTTCTGTTCTAATATCATGTGGCTCTAATATCTTGGAGAAGGCAAAGTATAATAAAGCAGTGCAGTTTTCTTTTGTAAGTAGAAGTAATTTTATGAAGAGAGGAAAAAGAAATAACTTCGTCTGATCAGGCCAAATTTCCATGGGAGCATAATATATTATGGTAGTCTTATTTTTGTTCTTAATCTTTTATTGAACCACAATTCCACTCCTTCACTAATGATGTTTCATCTAAAATTCCTTAGGCCTAAAAGCATCTGTCTGTAGTTGCTCTAGTATTTAAATTGTTCTAATATTGAATATTTCCAGTCTTCTGGACTTCTAAAATACTTGTTGCATCCAAGTTCCTTAGGTGGTTATAAAGAATTTAGTTAGTGCTTCCTGACTAGTGGTGTACCAGGAAGTTTGACTGAATGATCTGAAAGTCCCTTCCGACCATAATTTCTATGAAATCTTTGAAGCTGGCTTGGGTAATATTACAAAGGAAATCTGTAAGGAATGATGAACAGTTCTTGACCAAGACTTTGCACTGCGGTTGTACCTCCAGCATGAGAAAAAACCTTTGTTCCTTAGGAATTTTACCTTCACCATAGACATTTCTTGCAGCCAAATCTTTTCTTTAAAACCATTCACAGCATCACTAGAATTTCAAGGCAAAAGTGAATTTTATTTGATTTATTATATTGGCCTTCACAGAAAAAAATGAGTTCCCTAAAATATTTGTTTCCTGATGCATACTGGTCTATGCTATCAATATAAAACACACCTTTCAAACTCCAGCAGTGTTTGTCTTGTAATACTATACCTTTGTGTTTCCATTGCAACACACTTTTTACCAAAAAAATACAAGAAAAGAAAAAATTGAAAAGAGAGAAAATTTTGTTATAAATTAAATGCTCCTACTTTTTTAATTGATATCACAATATATGGACTAACATAAAAATATTATATATTATAATATATGTAATATAATGTAATAATACATATAATATATAAATAATATATATAATATATGTAATATAATGTATGCCTTATGATAATACACATGCAACTATATAGACTGCATACATTATACTCATATGATGTATAATATATTAGATCTATTAGCTCCTCCAAGGACATACTGATATTACTATACTATTACTGATATTTACTATAATTGTCTATAATGAGTCTGAAGCATGAAGAAATTTCCCTGACTAACTTTTGGTCAGGTCGGTCAGGCCAGGACAGAAGTTTCTGCTGGCTTTCCACAGAACTGCTCAGCTACTGGTATGCAGCTGGTACTGGTGTGAGCTCAGTAGTGCCACCAGAGTCCATTGTCTGGGACAAGAAACTGCAAATCTGCACTGGCTGAACCCTCCCTTAGGGATGATGCTTTTGTGAGCTGCTCTTGCCTCCAGGAAAGGTCCTCGTGAAGCTCAGCTCAAGTTCCAGCAGTTCAGATTAATAAATGGCTGACATCTGATCCCCTTTTTTATGTTCTGACGTTAACCAAGGGACAGAAAGCTCCCTGGATCACTGAATTTCATGCAGAATCAGTAGAAGGTTGTTTCTATAGGTACCATGAGAGTGTTTAGATGATCACACCTTACATAGAATAATGTTTCTAGTATTGATTTACCTATCACACTGCATTGAAAAATCCATTGCTTTGCATTGTTTTGCTGACTCAACAGATACATTAGTAAGTCCAAGATGTGCCAAAATTACCAACCTCTTTGGCTGCTTGCTTGCTGTCCTTGCAAGAGGCCTGAACTGGCATTAAGTCAAAACAGTGAAGTCCCCTCTTCTGCCCTATAAGCCATATTTTCCCAGAGGGGCCTTGGTCCAAAAAACACTTCCCAGCAAAGCATTCCCCTGTGCCAAAGCTGGGCACTGACTGGGCACTGCCCCAAAAAGCCTGGACCACACCTGTGCTGTAGAGTGTGCCCATAAATAGTCACATGAAACTTTTTGGGGCAAGTGATTGAAACCTAAATCTAAGAGATGAGTTGTAAGATCTAGAAAGGCTAATATTTGGCTTCTGTTGATGCTAAAGATAATCTGGTTTCTGCAGTGTACTCCTTGGGTCTTCAGGTTCAAGGAGCCCTAGTTCTCTCAGGTGCTGCATCAAACCTGTGTTAGCACTTCAAGAAGTCCATTAAGTGCTTGGAAATGCCTGAGCCAATGGATTTTTAGGATCTTGCTTTGATCCAGCAGGGCCTATGATGGGTTAACTTAACACAGGCACATATTGAATATATTTGGAAATGTAGAAAGCACATTGTTCTCCGGGACTCAGATCAGGAGTGTTGTGTGGAAGATTTGATTGTTCCTGCACAAAGATGTCTTGAGACTCCAGATGTTCTGGGCAGTGCCCCAATGGATGGCTTTTCCTCAGAAGAGTTAGTTCCATGCAAAACCATCTTTGGTGCCTCTCCTCACATGATGCACTTAATCTGCAGCCAAGATAAAACTCTGAAAAGTAATTAAGAGTTTATAATATTCTGATTCTTTATAGCTGATGTTTAATTTGTGCAATAATATAAGACAGTATCACTCCCACTTGTCCATGCGCAAATCTGCAGGAAACCCATTTTTAAAAGTGGAGTTAGAAGGCAGACAAAAATCTCCTCACAGATGCAGAGTTGTGAGAGCAGCTCCCTTTTGGCTCCATGATCCGTCTGATGGAAATAGCAGTTCAGGTGCAGACAGTGGGGGTGGAGGGAAACCATGTTCTCTATTATTTACACGTCTCTAATTTCAAGCTCCAGTTTTTCGAAGTAAAATAATTTGCCCCCCACATGGTATCTGTTTCTGGAACTTATTATCTGCTTTGTTGAGTTCAGCTGGCATTCAGATAAGGATAATTTAATTAGGCATCTTAGTAATCATACATGCATACTTACTGCCACAGCAGGGGGTGGCTTCTTCAAAACAAAACCCTTCACATATTACTTTGGACAGAATGTTTTCCCTAAAAGATTTCACATTGTATGCATGTATGTGTACAATATCTTCTTTTTCCCTAGAGTTCACATTCTGTGGTGTTTTCCCTTTGAGGATTTTCATGTTGTTTGGGAATATCCCTACCTACAAAAATTTCCTGTGTTTAGGATATGTTCTTTTGAGAAAAAATGCTTGTTTTACACTGATGGTCCACTTTGAAGAGACTGATAACATTGGGGGTTGCTCTGAACTGGAAATTCTCTCAAGCCTGAGAGGATATTTCCCTGAGATCAAGGGACATACATACAGATGTTATTTCTTTGGGAATCTTCCTGTTGCAAAGATCCTCACTTACTCCATGCTACTTTGCAGCTTACAGTGCCATCATATTTTCCATCTAAAAATCCAGGGAGAAGACCATGTTTACAATAGTGCCATTAGGAATAGCTTGAGAAAGAGTTTAGTGGAAAGGTCCAAAACTGAGTGGGAAAGGGGTTTATGGCTTGTGCTGCTGCTTAGTATTTTGCCCTTTCTCATATTTGCAGATTCAAAATGTCTGGCAATAAGAATCAAGTTGATGTTCAAGAGATGAACATATAAAATAAATGAAAATTTGTATGACTTAGTTCTGCTGAACTTGTGGGAGATTAAAAAATTGAATTTCAAGTGAGATACAGCTTCTGCAAACAGTCTAAACATTGGAAAACAGGTAAAATAAAACTTTTTTGAGAAAACTTTCATAATGTTTTGATTGCTCAAAATCTGTGTTTGAATTTGAGGCTGCATTCAATACTCACGTGAAAGAGCAAACACATTGCACCAGAAACTTCATAAAAGCAATTGTGTAAACTGGAAGCAACTCTTGCAGGAGAAAATAGCTGGCAAAAGAAGCACAAGTTAAAATATTTAGGTTTGGCTGAAGCAGCTTTGAGCTTGATCATTATATGTATAGATGCAAGTAAATAGCTTGTGGGTGGGTCTAAAGTCAATGTGAACCTTTATGTGGAAAATACTGCCTATGTGGGTATGGAAAATAGCCCACTTAAACTATCATTATTGGGAATATGTGCAAATAAAACCCATGTAGAAAGGGTATTTCTTTTATACTACTCTGAATGTGTTCCATGTTATTCTCAGTCCCAGTGCAGACAAGATTATATGGTACACATATTGTTGCTTCAAAGTAAACACATAAAGAAGTAAAATATTTATTTAAAATACACAGAATAACAGTGGAAGAAAAACAGTGTGCAACTGAAGTTAAATCAGATCTCGCAGACTGTTACAACTCAATTTCTGAGTAGGAGACTTGGCTGAAATCACTGACTTGCTTTTTAAACAAATCGGCAAGATATATTATTTGAAAGAGAAATATCCATGGATTGAAAAATCTATTAATTTTACTTACAATTTTGGGGGGAGTGACATTCAACTTTTTTATTGAGTTTCTCCGAAGTAGACAGGGTAATGGGCTGAATTCAAGAAATACTGGCATTGATGAGTTTTCATTTTTGATTCTCCTTTTTCAGATCATTCCTGCTCCCAGCACTTTCACAGCCGGATGAGAAGAGATCTGGGAACACTCTCTGTACTCTCTGTTCATTGGTTGTAGCATCTCTGGTGCTGTGGAAGTTCACATCTGTGATCTTTCAGCAAATTCTCTCTGTGACACACGGCAGCTTGAGGGATGTCCAAGTGATGTAAGTCTCAAGAGCAGCATGAACATATATAAAGACAAAGATATAAAGCTCTTGGAGAGTGTCCAAAGGAGGGCAAGGAAGATGGTGAAGGGCCTGCAGAGGAAGCTGCTGTGGTCACTTGGTCTGTTCAGCCTGGAGAAGAGGAGACTGAGGACAGATACACCTTCCTCGTGAGGGGAGGAGCAGGGGCAGGCACTGATCTCTCCTCTGTGGTGACAGGACCTGGGGAAACAGCACAAAGCTGAGTCAGGGAAGGTTTAAGGTCAGTATCAGGAAAAGGTTCTTCACACAGAAGGTGGCTGGGAGCTGGTCATGGCATCAAAACAGAGTTCAATAAATATTTGGACAACGCTCTCAGGGCACATGGTGTGATTCTTGGGACTGTTGGGCACAGGGCCAAAAGTTGGACTTCAGTGTTCCTTGTGGGTCCTTTCCAACTCAGTATATTCTATGATTCTATGATTAGCATTAACTAGCTGCCACTGTACAGCAAGCATGGAAACCAAGGGTAGGAATCCTCCCTATTATTGCTTCCATTTTATTGTTACCTCTTGGTTTCACACTAACTTCTGAAAATAAATCTATTTTGCATGCAGGAGTGGAAATTAGTTTCAGGATGAAGATACAATTTTAAATTAATAATAATATCATGTCCACTGCAGCACAATGCCATCAGTCTCCAACTTCATCCTCATTCTGTAACACAGCAAGGGTGTTATTTCCATGTGAAGGACAGAAAAGGATACACAGCTTATCTGAAGAATCCTAAGGGTCAAATACTGACATGACTGAGCAGGAAGCAAATTTTGGATGAATAATACCTTATGAAATGTATTACTTGGTTGACTAATAAAAAGAACCTAGAGCTGTTAGCATCAGTAACTGTATTGTGTTTATGTTACTCCAGACAGCACAGAAATAGCCCTGAACATATGCTATTTCTTTTCTTAGAAAACTACTGTAGTTCATTCAAAGATTAGTTCCCCTTTTCAGTGAGGGAAACATTTCTTCTCACCTTTCCCAGATTTTTGGAGGTTGCTGAAATCTCATGCACAGAGTCCTTAAATCATTGCCTGTTTTCTGCTCTTTGAGGACATCTTTGGTAGAACCGTGCCTTGCTTTTATTGGTTCCAGAGTCTTTCAATCCTGTTTTCATCTGCAACATTTAAAAACACTCATCACCACATGGAAGCTGTGGGTCTGATAGTACAAATATTTCACACTAATATCCATTTGTTGAACTTACTTTTGTGCACAAGTCCTGAGAAACTCTGTCTTACAGATTTAGGAGGATTTAGGATCTTGTTTACTGCCTGGGGCAATAACCAGACTTTCTTATGGGACATGCCAAGCTTTTGTGCAGACATTGCAGATACTGAGGCTCCCATGTGTTTGGGAGATGAACGCTCCATGCTACAGAAGTGATAGTTCAGGGGATAAGCACTAGTGGGCAGATTCAGAGAAGGTGTTTATATCAAGACTCATGTTACTCACACTATGTCAGTTCCTTTTTGAAGAAGATAATGTGTCATTTTTTTCTTTAAAACAAAAGAAAAAAAAACAACAAAAACCCAAAAACAACAGCAAAAACAAGCAAACCAACCAAAAAAAACAAAAAAACCCACCAACAAAAACTCAAATAGTTTACCTAGAGTGAATTCCACATTTGAAGTTTTTAAATATCTTCCTTCCATGTGCATATGGACAAAAACTTTTGATTTAACTGAAAATATAATCACTGGTGCAAATATTTTGGCCTGCCCTACTCCATACACAAAGCTTAATCATCCTAATGCTCCCTTCTGCTAATGTGCTTGTGTTTATCACAAAACAATATGTGGGATCAGTTAAAGGGGAAGTTAAGGGGAATAATTTAAGGAAGAAGTTAAAGGGGAATAATTTAAAAGTGAATTCATAAATAATAGCTCACAGGAAGAATGAAAAAAATCCCAGAGTGAGGATGACTTCAGCAAAAAAGAAATAAAAAAGAGAAAATATGAGGCAGCTTTTACACTGGGTTGGCAAATGGAGGATGTTAATCTTACAGAAGGGACAGAATCTTCAATTTTCCATTAGAGCCCACCCTCCCCTCAAAACATGCAAAATAAGTGCTTAGGAAAAGGAGAAAACGTATGGTAGTAAGGAAAGTGATTAGACAAGTACAGGGCACAGAATTCAGCATGGAGGATTCCCCTCAACTCTTTGAAGTTACACAGACCTAGTGCTGCAGCAGTGAATCAAGCCCAAAGAGAGGCAGGCTTCCCAAAGTTGCAGTTTAACATTCTCATGTGGTTGCTACTGGTTCCAGATGGCAATTAGATATTGGAACAGAGTAACAGGGCTTCTGCTTGTCCAGCAGAAACCAACTGAAGGATTTTAATGGGACCTGGTATTTCTGCTGAAGGAAGTATGAATTCTGGCAGTTAGAGCAGCAGACCCATATTATTTACTCGTGTAAACCAGCAACACTCTGGTGGATTTACAGCAATTCACACCAGCTGAGATTCTGACCTATTAAAGCAGATTTATACAATAGCTTCCTCCTTGTGCCAAAGATTTCAGCATTCCAGAGGCTGCAATATTGTTGGCCTATCTATGGACAAGAAAGATGAGGAAGAGAAATGCAACAAAAAAGTTGTCCTGGAGGTCAGTTCTTGGAAAGGAAGCAAACTTGCTTTCAAAAGGAAATCAAAGGCACAGACCATAAAATAGATCTCTTCCTCTGAACTCTCTAACTTGCTTTTGGTTTTTCTTCAAAGGCAAACAAAATGTTAATGTAAAAGCCAATGTGTCATTTTCTGGTTTGCTCTGGCTCTTGCACCACACCCTTCATTAGCAGGATCAGATGGCCATCCAGTAGCACTTTAAGGCAATGTAACATGTGTGGTTCCTGTTCTCTTTCCCTAAAAAGAAGTTGTGCACAGATTTGTGTAAAACCCCCTTTTTTTGATGTTTTATTATGTGTTTAGTAGAGAAGTGAGGTTGGAGGAGTTTCTTTTGCACTTGGAAGAGAAGTTAAAGAGGTATGTGGGATTTTCTGGTGTAACAAGCATTCCTTCCAGTCTTAGACCAGCTTTCAGAAAATCAGTTCCCCACCAATGAGTTAATTCTTCTGTAGCTTCCTTTCAATACTGTCCAAAACCTAACAAAAAGATGAAGATTCAGGTAAGGACTAAGGTATTGAAGATGCATGAACTCAGAAGAAAGTCATCCGAGAAATGGTGAGCTTTACAGGTATGGGTGACCTAAAAGCTGAATCTGCAAAAAGGTGATAGTCCCATAGGAATCATCTTCACTGGAACTGGTGACAGCAGTTAGGTAGGCAATAAATCCATAAAACAGCTTGAGGACATTCTTGCCATTCTTGACTTTTGTGTAAGTCCTCAATACCAGTAGATCTGCAGATGGCTGCATTTCTGAAATGAATCTTCCCCTAGCACAGAAAGGCCAACCCAGAAGGATCCAGATCATGCTGGCCCTAAGCAGGCTGACCCTTAAGACTAATCACTATTTACTATAGGTTGCTGTTCTCACTACTAACAGACCCAGAACTCAAATCCATTCTCAAGTGTATTGAATAAGAGAGGTTCTCAAATACCAGGCAAGAAGACATTTTTGGATTCAAGGTCTCAGATACATGGAGACAGTGAAAAGGTACCTGTCACTTGTTGGATAGGATGCTTTTCAATTCAGCAGTTCCAATCCAGATTTCCTCACCTTCTCCAACAAGTGACTCAGGCACCAGGCTATAGAATCATGTCCACTTACTTATTCATTGATATTTTATATTTTAGACAGATTGCCAAAGCCTTCTCCAAAAGAAATTCATATATCCCAGCTATCAATACCTTACAGATCATACCAAGGACAGTCTACTGGCAGTGAACATCGTTTTAGGCAAGAGAGGTAATTAGATCTCATGTGCCTCAAGGAAATGCTTATGTTTCCTTTTAGGAAGGAAATGGGGAATTGTTGCTATTCCTTCACCTAGCCATATTCAGGAAATGAGGGTCAGGGATATGATGACCAGAGGAGGTTTGGGATTGAGCAATCTCACCTTACCTGGGAGCCTTCACACCTCAGACATCCTTGGTAGGAGTTTCAGCTCTCCACCAGGCTGTTCCCTACTAAAGAAGTGTGAAACCTGGTGCAAGCACCTGAATCCACCCAGAAATTGTTGAGTAATATTGGCTCATAATAAGAGAAAATGTCTTTTCCTAAGTAGCAAGATGACCAAGCATATGGTTGTACCAAGCTGAGAAAAATGCTGTGATTGTCTTTTTCCAGTAAGAGCATTATTTCATACTCTTCATTGCACAAACTATAAAATCTATTTTTAAAGTAACAAAACCAAGTTTATATCACTGAGATCACCCCCAAGTCATTGTTTTTCAGGGATGGAAAGAATACCCTTGAATGAAATGCCCACAGACAACCCACCATTGCCCAGCAATACATAATATCTAGAAATTTTAGGGGGGTTTTTTGCAAATTTTATTCAGCATTTTCTCAATTTTTCTATTCCTTTCTCAATTATTAATAACATTCTGCTTGGTACTCTGTAGCTGCTGAGCACTGATCTGACATTTTCATTGAGCTATCCACAAGAACAAAACCCACCAGATCTCTTTTTCAGTGATAATAGCTTATCTAGAGCTCATAACTGAGTGTGTGCAATTCGGGTTCCTTGCCCCATGCATATTACTTTGTCATTCATCAGCACTACCTTTACAGCACAATCATCTCTGAACCCTACAGTGTTTCTCACAAAATTTCTTTTAATGTGTTGGAAAAAAAATATTTATTACTCTTTTTTATTCCTTTTGTGCACTGTTCCTTACAATCTTTTTGGACAGCTTTATTACGAATTGATATTTGACTTATTATGGTTTATGTCCCTTGCTATTTTGTTCATTGCTTCCCATGAGTTCCACTGTTTGAAGGATTTCTTCTTAGCCCAATGAGCTGCCCTTGCTATATTATACATTTATGCTGCCTTTTTGTGTGGTCCTTTAAGGATTGGTTTCTGAGGGTTTTTTTTGATATGTAATATACAATTACTCTGAAACTATAATAGTGTGTATAAATATAGGATCTACAATTTTTTTTTCTTCTTTCAAATTCCATTTTAACAGGATTTCTCACTTTTATGTATTTTCCCCTTCTGAAAATACAATTTTGGTTGTTCACTGCTATAGGAATGTTGATTTCAAGTGCTATATGGTCAAAAAGAATGATCCTTCATTTTGAAGGAGGCCCCAGGTATTGTTTAGGACTAAATCAAAAATTGTTTCTCCCTCCATGGACTAGCCTGCTATGCTGCAGACAGCAGTCATTTATGTTAACTAAAATTTTAGTCTTCTGCCAAGGACTTTGCTGAATATTTATCATAGATGGGTGTCTGAAGTGTTTCTGAAGGGCTCTCTCAGGAAATGGTGCACACTAAGGCTCTGTGGAGCCACAGGGAGAGACCTCCATCACATACAAGGCTTTCCTTTGTGCTTTTCCCACTTGTTGACAGGACTGCTGCAGTGGCAAATATCCTTTCCCTTGGGTTTGGGTTGCTACCTC